GTATTGTCACCCACTTCACCGATTTCAAATCCGACAATTTTTGGATAACCTATGGAGCTTGCACTTATTTATATATAACTCGATTATGTATGTATGTATGCTACTCCACAGATCGCCCTAACTAAGTCGTTTGGCCTCACCGACCAATTCCGCAAAAAAGCGCAACAAACTTTCCCTTAAATTTCAATCTTTTTTCTCAGAAGCTCTAGAATTTTTTACAACGCTTTTATCAACTTGCAATGTTGTGTTCCAGAAACTTTCAATGTTGTGGATCCCGAAACTTTCAATGTAGTGTTCCGACACCAAAGCAAAGCTTTGAAAAGCTCCTTTAAAAAAGCATAGTGAATAGGGCGAGGTAGATGACATCTAGATGTCGCCCTTGTAATACGTTTGCTACACCGGAAATAGACGAGACGCCATTCTTTAAATAAAATTAATTGGTGCTCGTTTGTATGTACATACATATGTAAATGCATGTGTGTGCACCTTTCTATTAATATCGTTGAATTATTTTAATATCTATTGCAAAATTTTATTCAGACAGGACTAAAAAGTAGAAAATAAATAATATAAAAAAAACTTTTTAATATACAACGCTTTTATAAATGGACTAAAAAGTAGAAAATAATACTTCTCAGTCCCATAGAATTTGTTTTGATAACTTTTGATTTTGAAATTTTAGCAAAAGTCATTATAAACAATCTATGAAATTGAAAATGAAAAGCGTGGGGCGCATGTAATACACTTGAATTGATATGAAAAGTAATATATGAATGTATGTATGTGGGTATATGAATAACGACCGCTTAAAATCGATTTCAAAGTTCTACTTTCGCTGTAGAAATTTTAGGTCTACGTTATGTAGTTTGACTATTGTCAATTAAATCGAATGCTTTGTATTGCATGCGCTCCACGTTTTTCATTTTCAATTTCATAGATTGTTTATAATGACTTTTGCTAAAATTTCAAAATCAAAAGTTATCAAAACAAATTCTATGGGACTGCGAAGTATTATTTTCTACTTTTTAGTCCATTTATAAAAGCGTTATATATTAAAAAGTTTTTTTTATATTATTTATTTCACTTAATAATGAGTACACCATTAGTAGTCGCCATTTGAGTTAGGTATATGTTGGCGGTTTTGTTCTCGCTAGAACGCTTGAATATCGTGCTTATATATCGGTTGTAAACTCAGGAATCTTGAGCGTATCTGCGGCATTTCCTAGATAGTTGGCTTCGCCTTCATCATTTTTGGGGTGCCGCAATAAGCATTTTTTCTTTTTCAAAAGGGAATGATACCCTAGTACGTATTTTTCTCGTGGCTCAGTTGCCCATTGCCTATTTTTTGTTTTTATGCATTTGCGGGCACTGGAAATACTTTATCAACGTAACTAGTTGAACAATACTTATATTGCCACTTAAGTATGTAGATCAATTGATCTTTATTAATAGGTATAATTACGCGCACACAACCGAAACCGATATTGCTTTGCTTCCCCGTGTTTTGTGAATGACAGCGGCCATTCACGGAAATAGGAAACGTAGCCCACAAAAAATCCACATACGTCCCACAAGAAGCACGGTTACCTTCTCTCCAGCTTTATGCCGTAGCACACTAGCAATTTTTATCGATCAAGTTTGCGCAAACTTTCGCTAAAACTGGTTCAGAAAATTGCATGTAATCCGAAAATTATACTTAAATAGATCAAATAAACTCCTCACATTACAATATCGCGGGCCTGTAAGTTAACATTACTAGTCTAATTTTTTTTTTGAGCATAAAAAATATATTTCCAAAAATACCATAAATTGCATGCTGTAATAGGTGAATCTTCTGGCAATATTAACCCTTAGGTGAGCAACCAACAATTCGGCCATGCAACCCTGTCGACACTTATGATCCAAACGTAAAGCGAGCTGCACACGATCAGTGCACTCGTCAATCATTAAGGGGTCATAACACTATCGAATGTTTACGTCAGCAAGATCAAAACTATGCAAGAATGATAAAATATTAGAAGTTTGAGATTGAAAACGTACTTAATACCCATTTATATTGCTCGTCAACACAAAATGTTCTTGTCTTGCGCCATATTCCTAACCTGATCGGAATAACATTATTTGCAGAAAAAATGACTCGTTACTCGGCAATGCGCAAACGTACAGAGGCATTGAGATACTCCCTAACGTGCAGGTTCTGCGGCAATAAGCACCCAATCAGGCTTTGTCCTGTATTTCGGGCTAAGGCACCTGAAGACCGGTTACGCGATGTCTTATTGCATCGGTATTGCTCCAACTGCCGAGCCGGGACCCATCGAGCCGCCCACTGTACAAATGAGGGTAGATGTCGACGCTGCCAGGAGTCTCACCACACACTACTACATATCGACGACGCAGCCGAAAAGCGCACGAGTCGTCGCCCCACTCGGAGCGCTGCCAACGATGATGACGACAGCGATAACAACAAAGACAGCGATGTAATATCGATCGAAGCCTCAGAAGTCGAGGAGGAGGAGGTAGTGCAAACTGGAGCGGAGACCGATGCTTTCCGCCAGATACTTCGGCCGGAATGGAAACGTATGCTTTCCATCCGGATAACGCAAGCGGATCGGAACCTCGGCGTTTCCGACCGCTACTACAACACGAGCTCCAACGACCGGGTTGGGAAGTTGCAGAATACCGACCTCCTCCCACTTGGCAGGGAACACAATCCCGACGTCGGCGAAACCGTCCGCGACAACATGGGAGAGTGGAGTCGAACGCATTCCACCGCCCAATGAGAAGCGGTTTCCGAACCGGGCTAGCAACGAACCCGCAAACAGCAACATACGCGCTTCATTGCTTGACGCTAGTCGCACCAACCGCCGTAGTCAAGATCGAGGCAGGAGGGCGCCTCCACCTGATCCGCGCACTTATCGACCCGTGTGCTATGACATCCTTGATTGCGATGGACCTTGCACAGGAACTGCGCCTAGGAGTAACGGAGGTCAACCACCAGCGGGGCTACTTCCTCAAATTGCGGGGAAAACACGGCCAGTCAGCAGCAGTAACGACGCATGCGGTAGCCATTCGAAGTTTTGAGAAACGAACACCGGTGTCTAATATCGACGCTACCATCGCCGGATCCTACTCCAACTTAAAGCTCGCCGATCCGGGATTCCATATTTCCGCGCCGGTTCGCCTAGTTCTGGGCGCCGATGTATACGCGAAGATCATCTTAGGCATTCTTCCAGCAGGGACGATGGGCCCGCTTCTAGCACAAAACACCATCTTCGGGTGGGTGCTTTCTGGCGCCTGTTAAACACAATTTTTTCTTTTAATAATTTTTGAAATTACATTTTTTCTACTTTTCTACTACCATACTTAATACATATTTACACATAATGAATTCCAATAATGAATAAACAAAAAGTGCAAGTGAAATTTTAAGCCACGTCTTTTTTTTTTGAACTCTTCTTTTTGATAGAAATTTAGGTACCGTCAACGGAGACCAGTACCAGAGGATGACGATTAGTTAGTAGATAAACGGAGCATGGTGGTTGGACGTGGTGAAAAACATTGCGTGTCGCAAGGGGGCCGGCATGTTTAGGCCAACGGCCTAAATTTGCTAAACTTTTCAACCCACCCTAATATATGACATAACTTAATTATTACGGTTGCTGTCGAGCTGTTAACTACTTTGTTAAATCTGCAACAATAAACTTTCGTCAAATAAACAGTTCGACAAGCAACCGTAACTAAAATCAAGAACGGTCCACTTACTTCTTTTGCGAGTATCCGAAGAAGAGGACGTCATCCAGCCACCAAGCTCAGCTTTTGTATTTCAAGGTAATCTGCAATTCAAATATATGTACATATATATATATATATACACAAATTACTTAAGTGAATAAACACTATTATTTTAGTTATACTAATACCAAGGTTTTAATTTCTTTTCTTAAATTAATCATCGGTGCGAACGTGCATCCAAATATTGCTCAAGCGTTGCGCCGATGAATAACATATAAAAATTCGTACGTGTAATACCCTAGACAAACGTTGTCCCACCCGTGACAGAGGAATTTCGGATTTTTTGTATAATAAAGCCATAACTGTTTGTAGTTTTTGCTTTTTTTGTGTTCCTGGTTCTTTGTTTTATTATAAGACATCAAGTGCACGCAGAAAAGTTAAATAAATTCGCAGTTTCCGTAAAATATATATGCTCCAAAAGGCAGGTTCTTTTTTTGTCCCACCCGTGAAAGAAGAAATAAATCAGATTTTTTCCATATAAAAGTAGGCTAGAATTTTTTTCGTGTTTGGTAATAACTCATATAATAGTCAATGAGAACTTTATACTTAAATTAAACAATAAAGAAAATTCTTTCTGTACAAGTGTCCAACCCGTGATGGTGGAATTGCCCTCCTTCTTTTTGTCAGAATATTTCGAGCGTGGTATCAAAGCAAATTTTTCCACAAAGGTTCTGATAGTTGCTCTTACTTAATTGGAGCCTTCTAAATTCAATGGCGTCCTCAGTTTTGCCCGATTGGTTCCACTTTTCGAGATAGCGGTACTTGAAACTTTGCTTAAATTTTTAATATTTTATAAAAACACTCCCTCAGTTTTGAAGATATTTTACTAAAATTTTGACATAACTATTTTTTAATATTACCTTAAATACTCCATAAAATCATCGAAATCGGTTCACTATATAGCTCGGGAGGGGTTTAGTAGCGCTCCCAACTATTTCGGGCTATTCCGTCCAAAGGGGTGGCCCGATCAAAAGAAAACTATACACACTTGTAGTCAAAGGTGTACGCATTATTTTAACACCCACTTTTGTAATTTTTGGTCACTATTTATTTACAAATTTGGTTTGAAATACGCCCTTTTTTGTAAAATTCGGAAATTAGCGTATATTTATAACTCCTAGTCTCCTTAAAGCAGCCACTTCTACACCTTTGTTTTTGTATTCCTCTTCACTTTACTCTTTACTCGATTAGTTATAACTTTCTTTACGACTTTAATATCAACCAGTTAATCACAATTCATTAAATAAAAAACCTTCAAAATCACGCGTCTGACTTTGGTTGCATATGCAAATTAAATGGCGGAGTTCAGCTGTCAAACTCCAAAATGTGCAAAAGAATGAGAGACAAAAGAAGATAGGATATAACCCAGTCAGCATTAAAAATATACAAAGGTGTTCTCTGCAAAAGGTGTTCAGCCCCTTTTCTTCGCAAAACAGAAAGAAGAATTCTACTGCCTGAGGATTATAATCCCTAAGTGCGGCCGAAGGCCGCCTACGCAGAAAGGTGTTCTCTGCAAAAGTGTTCAGCCCCCCTCCTTTGGCAACATAGAAACGAGAATTCTACTGCCTGAGGGTTATAATTCCTAAGTGCGGCCGAAGGCCGCCTACGCAGAAAGTTGTTCTCTGCAAAAAGTGTTCAGCCCCCC